CTAAGCTTCTTGTTTGATTGTATCATTGCCTGCTGATACCAAATACCCCTTGAGCCCCTACCCCAGTCTAGCAGGCAGATACTGATCAAGTCCCTGCAGCTGCATGGGCAGCACATTCTTCCCCAGGAGCTAGACCTGGAAACCTGGCTGGAGTCTTCTCCTGCTCCTTTTCCTATAGACTTGTTTTTCCTAGAAATCCTCAGGCAGAGTGGATTTTCTGGAATGAGGATCTGAAGGGGCAGTGATTTTATTTTCCTTCACTCTGCACCATGAATAAAGGGAGGATAACTGCTGTCTCCCCTAGTAAACCACAAACCCCAAAGTTGGCAAGTTCAATCCTCCCCAGAGAAGAATATATCCAGAGAGAATGTGGATAGTGGTGACTTCATTTTGTTCAGCCAACCCTTTGATCCCAAGACTTCCTTTCCCTTTAGGGATTCTCACTGATTTCCACTGCCATGGCATGCCAGACTTAGGAGGGCTGGTTCTATTTAAAAAAAAAAAAAAAAAAAACTCCAGTTCAAGTATGGAGATAAAACATTTTTTTTCCTTTATTTAAATCCTGTAACTCCCTGAAACAAATTGGTCATGGTGTTAAAATAGGGCTCTGTTTTTTAGGGGTTTTTTGTTGTTGTTGTTGTTGTTGTTTGTTTTTTGGGGGTTTTTTAGGTTTTTGCCCTAAGGTATGTGTGCTTGCTGAAGAGAGAAAGAGAGCAGGAAAGTAAGAAATCACCCCCCTAGGGGAGATGACCACACCGCAATCCCTTCTCCTCCATCCCCTTCTCAGGACTTTTCGCATGCACACACATGTGACTAACGTGATTTTTCAGATGGTGGGACCAGGACCTGAACTGTGACCAAGTATGTGGGAATATAGAACCTTAACCATGCCACTTGTTGGCCCCAAAGCTCTGCTTTTAAAAAGGCTCTGCAGTAGTAGCAGAGAAAGACATATGGAGAAAATCTGGAAGCAGATACTTGGAATTATAGGTTATGGCTCCTTCACATTTTTTTCTAACTCTCCTTCTGGAAGCATGTCCAAAAAGAAAATACCTAGATAAGAAAATGTTGCAAGCAAGATCCAAGGGTGTACCCCAGGAACAGATGCCTTTTCCTGACTTGTCTTCTGCATGTTGAGCCTCTTCTTCAGGGCAGAGAGGCTTCATCTCCTCACTACCTGACCTGTAGACCTCGGTGTTTCATCACGCGCAGTGCTTTGATGTGGCTGGGGTGGTGCAAGCTGCAAGTTTTCGACACTGACATTCGTGGCATGTGGTAGGCGGGACAGGATAGTGGTTAGGAGGGGAAAGTGTAGCTGGATAAGTGTGATTTCATTGCATGGCACTCTGGCAGCCCTGGAATGAAGGAAAGGTATTTATAAGGGTTCCCAGAGGGACTTTGATGCCATCATTTTGACCTTGAGACTGCCAGACACTTTCTGACCAGAAGGGTCAAGTTCACATTGGCCTCACTTGGTACCAACTTACTTGAAAATTCTGCCCACAAGCCCAAGTGAGTGGACACATGCTTTCTGCACAGATAGGATGGGAAGGGTAAGTCCCCATAGCATGCATCCAGCAGCTGCCTGGAGCACAGCCTCTAACACACAGTGATCAGTGAGCCCCACCCAGAATCCTGCTGGCCACTCCACCATCCACAGACCTTCCCTCCATGCCCTCACACCGTGCCACTTCCTTCTGCTGCCATTGCCCACCCACTGCCTCAGCAGGCCTAGCTTGAGACCACCTAGTCCAGGAAGCCACTGTAGAATACAGGCTCCATCAGAAAATTACCTTTTCCAAACTCACCCATGATGCATTTGTTAAACAGCAAGTTTCTCACAGCAGAAGTCCTGCCTTGACGACATTGCTGGGTTGCAGGAGGCATCATAAAGGCTTGTGAAGGAAAAGCTAAATGAGCAGTCATGACCACCCAGTGTACGGGGTCTGTGAGTCCTGGGCTGATCTCCTCTCAGCACCCCAGGCACCTCTTCATTAGTCACGTGGACACCATCACATGGAAAGTGCTGGCAGTCTGACTTGCTGCGTGAATATGTTGCGTTTCCCTAACCAAGCCATGCCCCTCTTGAGGACAGACTCCTTCCTTGTCTTACCTCCAAGCCTACACTGAGTAGCTGCTAATTGCTCAGCTTCCCGTTGGCTCCCAGGAGATGGATGGTAGAATGGGTGGCTGGCTGGCTGACTGGGTGCTGAGCTGGCCATTTATTTATTTACCTGGAGCACTTTGTCTGGGTCCCCGAGCCTGAATGCTACTTCTTTTCATAGAGCAACAGCAGCAAGTAATCAAGAAAAAGTAAATGTATTTGACCTTTCCACCCAAAAAGAAAAGTCAGTTAGTGAACTTCAACTGTCAGCTGAATCCTACACTTTCACAAGGCTGAGGAGGAATTTAGAGCAGAAAGAAAAACCCAGCGGGAGCCAAGGAGACCTTTTCCTTTCCCTCCCCCAAGAGCTGTCCTGCTCTGAACCCCAGTGGACACGCAAAAAGCCTTTGCTGCCACTGAGTGCATAGAAAGTGAGTGTAGGTGCCTTGAGATTGAACTCACTCTGCAACCAGCCTGAGCTTGGCACAACATCAGGCAACGGATGCTGTTGCCACAACTTCCCTGACGTCAATAGTTTGTCATCACAGGAGCTCTCCGGGGGCCTCATGACATGCATGTGTTTCTTCATGATTTTAAGGCTAAAATAGCCTTCCTCCTCCCAGAACACCTGTATCCCCATATGAAACCATCCTCACTCTCAACTCAGAGAGCTCTCACCCTTGAATCCTTAAACCACTGCCTGATCCTTTTTATAAAGGTTTTTAAGTTTTTGTGAGAGAGACAGGCACCCTCAAGAGGGTCCTCATACTATAACCCACCCCAGCATCAGCCAGCCCAGACCACAGGTACACATGTATGCCCACTTTGCTCAGGGATACCAGGATGTGAACTCAGGACCTTTCCCAAGTGGATCTAGTTGCATCACTGCTGTACCTGCACCTGGCTCCAGCACATGAACTGTTGCTCCTCTGCTAGGCCAGATGGAGAATGTATGATGGGATTTGGGGAGCTCCCTATTCACCCCCTAAGACAGAGGGCAAACCAAGAGAGGGGGTGAGAAGATATAAAGACAAAGCCTTACAGAATGAAAGGACTTCTCGACACTGTCATCTGCAAACACAAAGAAGGAAGTTCTTGGCAACAGAGGAGGTGACTTCCGTCCCTGGGACCAGGCCTGACAACCACATCAGAAACTCCACCAGCCCAAGGATCCAGCTGCAGCTGAGGTCCTGTCCCCATTAGCTGCACCCAAGCTGCCAGCTGAGGCAGAAGATGCCACCTGCATTGCAGGGTAGCACCTGTGTGCTCTCAGCCTTCCAAGGACTGTGACATTGATCAGAGAAGGGGAAGCTGACCACGCTCAAAACTCAGAGATTCATTCACAATATGTCTGTAGCCAGTGGCAGATTCCAGGGGAGAAGATGCAGTCCTACCTCCCCAAAACTATGGACAGTGAAAGGTTGTTTAGTTGATTCTTGGTTCCCAGAAGGACTAGACTTGCAAACATCCATAATTTGTCATTCAGGGTGCTGAAGCACAGCTGCACTCATCCCACTGGATTGCAGAATCCAGTACTTGCTTGAACTTCCTTCCCCTCCTGCTTCAGGTCTTTCTTCTGTGAAGCCCTCTGAATACAAGCCTCCACCAACCTGCTCCTGTCTCCCCAGCCCAGACTCCTGACAGTGTCTTGTCTCTGTCACTCTGTTGACTTGGTGCCTGGATTTATCCTCTTCTCTGCCTCTAGGCTCCATGCTAGTCCCAGACCCCATAGATGGGCCCTCTTGCTCCCCAACCTGAGCCTGCAGCCTAGATTCTATTTCCTCCCTACCCAATGTCCCTCCTGATACCCACAGTCAGTTTGTTATCAGGAAGAGGCATCTGGCAACTGTACTGGGGAGAATGACCTCAAGACTCTACAATTGAAGTGATTATCTGAGAGGAAATGACTCTGATGAGCATCATTCTCGGTCTGAGTATGCACAGCCATTGCAATGGGGACACGGATGTCTGTGTTAACACTGTCTGTCTGTGATCTAATAAATTCTTGCTCAACTGCCGGAGGAGAAGAGGCATTCTCTGCAGCAGCTGGAGGGAACATGCAAGTTCCCACTCTCTGGCCAGATGGGAGCTGTAGAAAACACACTCAGTGACTTGAGTAGCACATAGGACAGCTTTTCCCACAGGTGGGTCGAAGCAAAGACCCTCTTTGGATGAGCCCCTCCACCTTATAGGAGCCCTGGGAGGGCTTCATCAAGAGAGAAAAGGAGATGGGGGCTAGACTGTGGCACAGCGAAGCTGACCCACATGGCAAGGTCTCAGGTTCCCGGAACATGCTGGCAGGAAAGCAGCATGGGAGCCTTGCTGGAGTACCTCTCACTTGTTTTCTCTGAAGAAGTATGTAAATAAACTGAGAGAGAGAGGGAAATTACACCCGAGTGTCCTGACCACCACTGAATGACCTCCATGACTGCAGGAACATCACAGCTCGAGTTCTAGTTGTGAAATGGGCTAGTAACACCAGACACCTCATGGGATTGCTGGGAAGACCACATGAGAGAGTAGATGGAAGATAACTAAACCAATGCCTGTAGGGCCAGAAGACCCACAAATGGTCTGTGTTAAGTGCAAAATAGTACACGTGTTTGTACACACCACAGATACCTTCTGAGTGTATACCTAGTGCAGGCCCAGCCACGGTGCAAGGACAGCAGGCGTGCCTGAAGGGACCTAGAGGTTTTCCAGCCCAGTCGGTGGTCCAGCTAAGCCTGGGTCTGGTCCGTTCACACCTGCTGGAGGTCTGTGCTTGCTCCATGCCACTCCTGCCCGTCAGGGCCCATCACAGAGCTACTTACACAGGGGAGAGGGGCAACCTAGACTGAGATGCTGCCAAGCATGGAGACTTCCTCTCTCACCCCAGGCTCTTTTCTGTCTGCAGAGCCTGACCCAGAGATGGCCTCCACTGCTACAGACATCGCCATCATTGCAGGTGAGTTTCAGTGCAGGGCCCGGCCCAGGGGTAGACCAGCCAGGGGACTGGGGCAGGGACCAGGGGTCACAGGCAGCGCTGGCCAGTGTGCTCTCTCCTTCACAGGTAACGTTGTGCATGGGAAGAGAGGAACCCTGTTAAGAAACATCTAGCAGTGTTCTATTCTGGTGGAGGAGTGGGGCTAGGGGAGTGGGGGAAAGTGAGAGGACCCTCTCAGAGATGCACTCACAGGACTCTGGTTGGAGAGGGTGCAGCTTTGATGAGGGAGGTCTGGGGTGGAGGTTGGTGGTTGAAACTTCACCCACTCCTCCCTCATCCCACTCTATTCCCTATCCCAGGTCTCATGCCCCTGCCATCCCTCCATCCTAAAGGAAATCTGACCCTGGGCAGATAACTATGGTCTCCATAGCAGACCATCACTGCTATGGTCTCAAACTGTTTTAAGAACAACCAAGTTTGGGAGGTGTTTACCCAGTCTGTTTCTTTCTTTGAAATCCACACTTCTCCATAGCTTATTAATAGCTTTTTAGCTACAGCTAAAAGAAGAAAAAAAGAAAGAAAACTGCAGCAAGCAATCATAGACACCCGTTGGAGTCTCTTTCTCCTGCATTTTCCAACTCATTGGACTCTTGGGTCATATTGTTAAAATCACGCAGACAGGAATGTTCTGCTGAAGGTGATAGGCAGTTAAGGAAATTTTTATATCACAGTGGGACTCCGAGGCCAGACAGTGGTGCAGTGGTCACACAACACTTCGCAATGCTGGATGCACTGGGAAGGTCCTGGGTTTGCATCCTGAGGCCTCCTTGTACACTCGTGTTCCTGGCTGACTGAGGCTGGCGTGGATCTTAGCATAGAGACCCTGTTAGAAGTGCTTCTCCTTCTCTTTCCCATTCTCTCTCTTGCTTATGAAAAGAGAAATAAATAAACTTAGAAAAATAAAGGTGGGAATTTGAAGCAATTTCAGTCTCCCAATATTCTCCAAGAGCCCTTCTCCAAGGCCCCCAAATAAACCTCCACTCCAAGTGAAAACTGGTTTGTTCAACAACTTTGAAGCAAGTGTCCAAACTCAAAATGCACCCAATCTTGTCCTTGTGGAATTCTCTCCCTCTTCAGTCATTTCACAGAGCCAAGTCCTGCTCCTCCTGCCAGGCTTCTGGCATCCCTTTGCCCAAGGACAGCACGGGTCAGGGTGCATTGAGGAACAGGTTTCCAAGCCACACATCACACCACCTCTCTTCAAGTGCAGTTAGCACCTGTCACTTTACTCCCCATGAGCAGCACACAGAGTAACCAACTATCCCCAGTATTCTCCTCAGACTTTACTCGTTTTAGCACAGAAAACCCCATATCCCAGTAAACTGGTTCGGATCGTCCTGGTTTAAAAGTGAGAATTCTGTGTTCCATGAATCCCTCAGTCTCAAGCAAGCCCACATCCTCACATTGTGCAAATTGTGCACATGCTATTATTGTCCCCTCCTAAATCTGCCTTCCCCTGCAGAACTGAGAGCCTCTGGGAAGGGATCACTCTCAGAAACTATCTAGCCTGCCTGTAGGAAAGGGTGGGGAGAAAGGATCGTCCTGGTGAGCACCAAGGAGGGCAGCACACACCAGGCATGTAAGGAAGGGATGAACCAGCCTGCCCAGGGTTGGCACTTCTGTCACTGGTACCTATCCTGGCAGCAGTCTGTGGGTCCTGACCTCTGCACCTTCTCACCCGCAGGCGTGATCACCGCCGTGGCCTTTGTCCTGGTCTGCCTCCTCTTCCTCATGCTGCACTACATGTACCGGCACAAGGGCACATACCACACCAACGAGGCCAAGGGCACGGAGTTTGCAGAGAGTGCAGATGCGGCCTTGCAGGATGACCCTGCATTCCAGGACGCTGGTGACAACAGCAGAAAGGAGTACTTTATTTGAGGGGCACAGGCATCACCTCTCAAGCGGGCATCACCACTGCAGAAGAGACTGCACCTACCACCACCATGGGCACCCCAGGCAGCACGCGAGAGCATTCACCTCTTCCCAAGATACACACCTCAAAACACTAAGTGCCTGCCCAGGGAGAACAGGATAAGGCTCAGCCTGTGAGAGCCCTCACCAGGGACACAGTGGCCCCAAGAGACCAACCTTTGCTGTGCCAGGAAGAGATTCTGGGCACACAGGTCTCCCTGGGCAGTGCAGGACAGCATCTCAACCTAAACAGCATGAGCCTCCTTGCTGGGTAGGAGTGGGGTGGGAGTGGGGTGGGTGTGCCCAGGGGTTCGGGGAGCAAGGAAGTGATTCACCCCATGCTGATTGGCGATAATGACATCAGATGGCAGTCCTTGGCATTTGGGTGAAACAGAAAGTGCCAGATCTAAAAGGTACCATTGTTGTCTATTGATCCAGCTCAAAACAATTGGAAATGAATTTGCAATGTAACAGCATCCAGAATCAAATAGCATTATTGTAATTATTGGGAAAAAATAAAGCCACCCAGGCTTGCTTTTCACCAGGTGAGTCTGTGTTCTCTTACAGAGTCTGTACATGGTACCGAGACAGCAGCTTCTGGCTGCCATGGGCCAGATCTCAGACAGCACAGATGGCTTCTGGGCCTGCCAAGGGAGAAAGGGACAAGTGCCTAGCATCCTTTCCCCATGTGGGCACCGGCTGCACGAAATGAATGTGAGGGTGAAATGTCCCTCTGGAAATACATTGTCCCAGTGGCCAGGCAGGACCGCAATGCTGATTTCCTAATGCACAGTTGTTCTAGTCCTCTCTTTTGCCAGTATTTGAATAATAACCAGGCGTGGGCACTTTACTAGAATAGAGGTGTATTCAGATCATAGTTTGGATGTCCAAGGTCCAGGGCCACATCAGCTCACAGCATGATGGAGAGCAGGAACTCGGGTAGACCAGAGCGTGCTCTAACCATGTGGGTCTCCCCACCTGTCTCATGTCCTCTCCTAATAAGCCCACCAGGACCCAATCCTGGGGACCCAGTTCTAATCACTAATCTCCTCCCCAAAGCTACACCCTTTAACACAATAATTGGATCAAGCTTTTACCCTCTTAATCCTATTACAATCAAATCTCAACACATAAATTTGAGGGAACACCCAAACTATAGCAACATATCAAACAAAAAAATAAATAAATAGACCTGCTAACCCAGTATGAGTGAGCCCCATCCTTCCCATAATAACCATGAGAATGGCACCTAGTTTCAGAGCACCACTCACTGGCCTTGGGTCCAGCTCCCCTTTCTCCATCCAGGATCTTCGACAATTTTCTTGACCTCTCTGGCCTCAATATTCACACCCCTTAAGTGAAAATGATGCTAATAATGGTATCTCTCTTGTCCCTAACTGACAGCATTGAGAATAGGAGCAAATATGTCAAGTGCTGTATCCTCACAGCCTTTCAGTGTCAGTAACTGGCACTGGATAGACAGTGTGTGCATACTGGTTAACAAGAACTCCTCATTGCACTACTTTTTTTTTTTTTTTTTGAGAAGTTTTTGCTATAGGGCACATGCACTCACCAGAAAGACAGAGAGAGACAGAGAGACATAAAGCAAGAAATCACCCCCCCCAGGGGGGATGGCCACTCCACAATCCCTTCTCCTCCATTCTCCTCTCGGGATCTTGGGCACGCACACACACACACCCGGCGTGAGTTTAACCCACTGGGTCCGGGACTCAAACTGCATGGGAACCCAGCAACATAGCCATTACACCAACTGCTGGTCCCAACCTCATTACACTACTTCTAAATGCTTCCTGAGGAGCAACCATAATTTAAAATAAATAACAAGAAAAATGAACTCATTAACCATTACCACTCACCTTCCCCGTGAGTCGTTCTAAGATTCCCAACAGTTGAATAATCACTTCAATATAGCAGTTTCAGGAATAAAGATTGCACCCACCATGCCAGGGTCACCTCAGCCACCTCCGGGGCTCAGATTTCTTAAGGCTACACCACTTTCACCTGCAAGTCAACACAATTCCCATCACTTTCCTATCCCATCGCTTCCCTAGGAGGCTAATGAAGACCAACTAAAAATGCTGGTCCAGTGGCTGTCGTTAGGAAGTTTTTGCTATAGGGCACATGCACTCACCAGAAAGACAGAGAGAGACAGAGAGACATAAAGCAAGAAATCACCCCCCCCAGGGGGGATGGCCACTCCACAATCCCTTCTCCTCCATTCTCCTCTCGGGATCTTGGGCACGCACACACACACACCCGGCGTGAGTTTAACCCACTGGGTCCGGGACTCAAACTGCATGGGAACCCAGCAACATAGCCATTACACCAACTGCTGGTCCCAACCTCATTACACTACTTCTAAATGCTTCCTGAGGAGCAACCATAATTTAAAATAAATAACAAGAAAAATGAACTCATTAACCATTACCACTCACCTTCCCCGTGAGTCGTTCTAAGATTCCCAACAGTTGAATAATCACTTCAATATAGCAGTTTCAGGAATAAAGATTGCACCCACCATGCCAGGGTCACCTCAGCCACCTCCGGGGCTCAGATTTCTTAAGGCTACACCACTTTCACCTGCAAGTCAACACAATTCCCATCACTTTCCTATCCCATCGCTTCCCTAGGAGGCTAATGAAGACCAACTAAAAATGCTGGTCCAGTGGCTGTCGTTAGAGATAGTCAGAGAACTCTGATTAAGAGGCAAGACTTTTCCCTGAGTGACCTGAGCTCGCTGGTCCTCCACTTTTCCATCTATGAAATAAAAAGCTTATCTGTATCTCTGTGTCCCAGACTGCAATCTACAGAAAACAGCCTGGCAAAAATAGTAATGAATGGTTCAGGCAAATAGGTGTAAGTAAATAGTTCAAACAGTAAGCAAAGTTAAGCCAGCACAAGGCTTCTCAGCATCAGCGTGGCCCACTGCGAACTAATTCTCTTGGGAGGACAGCAGAGTAGTGTGGCACTTCCCTGTGTGTTGGCCAGAGACCACATTTCTTCACAGGTTACATGTTAAAATCTCATGGACCTAGTGTTCCCCGGATCACTCTGGGAAACATTGAACAACTTGTGACATCCCTTCTTATTGAGATACCACTTCTGGCTTTGAGAGTATGTGTGCATAGAGCCTGTCTTCAAGATTTATGCGCCTGTATTGCCATCCAGTGGGCACAGAGGAGGCACCCAGAACCCACACACAGACATGTTCTAGTTTGGAAAAGGCTCCAGGGAAAGGATAACCCAAGAACACCCCTGGGACTACCTGAGGGCTGGTGATCGTGGAGGAAAAAGATGCCAGTCAATTGCCCTTTCCTCCTCCCAAACCTATCCTTGGTTCCAGGAATACCTGTACTAACTGGGCTCTCTGAGACTAGCCCACCAAGCCAGCTCCCTGGCCACTGATCTCTCTGTCCCACCTTTGTCTTCATTCTGTCTTCCCAGTGTCATGGAAAACTACTGAATTACAGCCTGCCCTCTGACCTCCTTGATCCCCAGACCCAGCCTGAATCAAGACCAGCAGCAAATGCAGTGACAGGGAAGTTGAGGGCTGGGTTATCCAAGGTGGCCCAGTCTAGATGCCGCCGAAGGAGCTGTCACAGGATGACTACAGAGGAGAAATGGCCACACCATAGAGTAGAGCAGTTCAATGAGATAATGCACATGCACACATACGTGTACCTGATGCGCTCTCCTGAGTCAAGAGCCAAGTTTCTTTATCTTTGATCTTTCCTCAACAATGCACAAAAGTCATTAGGCAGCATGCTTGCTACAGGTGTTGGCTGGGATAAAAGTGCACTCACACAGCCTCCTTAGTCCTCACTATCACCCAGCAAGTATATATCCTCATCCCCCTTTAGATCTATAGAAAAATGCTCAGAGAGGTCAAAGAACTTGCTAGAGGTCATATAGCTTTTAAGGTCAGATGGGCATTTGAAGCCAGGCCTGTCTGACCCTTCTCCCTTCAGCAGGTTGAGGCTGATCAATGGGAGCTCCCCAGGAAGTAGAGCAGGTGGAATCAGGACTGAGTGCTGAAAAGACTCACCAGTGCTGAGCTCAGAGCCCCAAGCCAGGTCTCCCCATCCACTTGGCTACTAGTGGCCTGAGCTTCTGTGCCAGCATCTCTATCTGAGGAGAGCCATGAGGACAAGAGACTACCCCAAGTGGTGGAGGGAGGCAATCAAGTAGAGCCCTGGTAGGTCTCCCTTGGTAGTGTTGATCAGGACAATAAAGATGTTAAGTGCTGTGTGGCCAAGCATATCTTGCACACACCCTGATCCCCCAGGAAGCTTATCCTCCAGGTTTCTTGCAAAAGGGAAATGATTTGGGGCTGAAAGGTGGTATAGCAGTAAAATATAACACTCTGGGGGCTGACCCACATGAAAATGTTCTGGGTTTGTGTCTGGAGATGTCTCTGAGTACACTGTGTAAGAGCATGCCCATGATCTAGGCTGGGTGAGGCTGAGGTAGATCATGACATGGAGACCCTGCTGGAGTGCTCTCTTTGTGTGTGTGTGTGTGTGTGTGTGTGTGTGTGTGTGTATGTTATGTGCATGCATGTGTGTGTGTCCTGTTCACAGAGGAAATAAACTTAATAAAAAAGGAAAGTGATCAACTAGATTACATCCCAAGAAAGCTAAACTTCTTGTCTGATTTATGCTTCTTAAAAATGTTCATTCTCAAAATAAAATAAAATAAAATAAAGAGGATTTGGTGATGACACTTTAGACCTGGAGACAGACAGGTAATGTCTGTGTGTGTGTGTGTGTGTGTGTGTGTGTGTGTCTGAGTATATAGCTGCAATCCACAAACATTTATTAGGTAACCATGTAAGTGGGAGGATTACATGGCAGAATACAGCAATTTCTGCCTTAAGGGATTCGTGGTTTGGTAGAGAAGATAAACATATAAATGCATCCAACCTCAAAATATTAGAGATGATGAAAGAGAAGTGATACCGATTAATTTGAAAGCCAAAGAAGGAGGAACTGGATTTAGGAAAGGCTTCAGAGAAGAAGGGAGTCTTGGGCCAGTTGCACAGTAAACGAGAGCTGGACCATAGAGGTAGTGGGCCTCATGCTAAGTAATTTGGACTTGTACAGGAATAGGGAGTCACCAAAGGAACAGGTCAGTGTCTATCATAAGAGCAAGGTGATGATCAAATCAAGCAGGACACAGATGAAAATGCACCATGGGCACTTACAAGGGGACTTGGGAAGACTTACGAAGGCGTGGACTGTGCCTTCAGAGCAGGAGACCTACCCCCAACCCCCAGAGTTGTTTAGTCTCAATTTCACATGACTCACCCCATCCTGCCTGTGAGGAGTGGATCTCATCTGTGCACCAAAAGAAAGGACAGGAGGTCAGGGCTTTGAGCCAGTGGTTATGTAAATATTCAAGAAGAACTTTGTCTTCTTTTTTAGTGGAAGGAACTCCTGATGATTTTATCTTGTTCTGCTCCTTGGAGGACAGGCTGCTCAATTGTTTCCATTCCTTGCCTGAACATTTTTATCCTCATAGCAACAGGG